AGAAAGGAGTGGACATGGGGGCGGGGGGGGGGAAAGAGGACCGAACCTCGAGTGGAAAGAAAGAGCCCAGACTGCGCAGGGCAGCCATAACCGCCGTTACTTACATCGTCTTCGCTCCGGGAGGTCACCACCGCGTCAATCATTTTTCGGGGGTTATTGACACTGGAGACTGTGAGCTTCCCCAGCGACCCCTCAAACTGCACTGCAAGGACAGAGGAATAGCCATGTGGCTGGAGTCACCGCCTCAAGCCTCTGCTCCCTTAGCCATGCCACAGAAATCTTAACCCGCGTCTCCTCCAGCTTCCCCCGGCCACTGAACCAATGCCCTCCCCCTGAGCCCGAGAGCCCTGATTGCTTCCTGCCCTCCCCAAAGCAGCTCTGCAGCTGTCTCCAGCTCCACCCCTCTCCACAGCAAGTCTATGGTGCTTCTTTTGCCCCAGCGCCACGACGGATAGCCGCCTCCACTATTAACACAACAATATGGCTAGGGAGCGAGGTGCTATTTCAGCACCAACACGTCCCCACAGGTCTGTTGGTTCCCTGCTGGCCCATGCATTGCCCACCTCCCCCCAAGGGGCATTTACCTGGCTTGTAGGCATGCTCTAACTTGGCCACTTGGGGCGTGATGAGTTTAGTACGTTCTTTCTTCGGGCCATCGCCATGCATCTCCTCCGCCGCAGACACTTTCTCCAGCTTCTGGAAGTAATTCTGAGGGGAGAGGGAGAAGGAGGTAGCAGTGGTTAGGAGCCCAGCACTGAGACTGTGGCCCTCGGAACCAGTGTGCCATCACACGCCAAGTCCCACAGCTAGTGGGGCTGCCCAGCCAGTCTGTGGGGGAGCAGCCAGGGGAATGCAACAGATGGTGAAGCACAGTTCTAGAGTCAGCTAAAAGCATTGTAGTGGGAGCTCAGCTACAGCCCCTTACCAGCAGTTACTTCTCTGGGAGGAGCAAACTAGGGATGTTAAATTTAGATTAATGGGGTAAATAGTCGATGCAATTTGTATTGGCTATTTGATTATAGCTGATAAGGGCACCTCCCCAGGGCTGTTGCTACACTTCAAAGGTGAAAGTGCTGCGGGGAGCATGGGGTCAGCTGGGGAGTCCCCAGATGGCCTCGGACTGCACATGGCGTTTCAAAGCAGCAGATCCTGGGCCCCACACGTGCTGCCGTTTTGAAGCACCCTCTCTTCTCCCCCCACATGCGGCCATTTTCCAATACAGGCAGCAAAAGGGGGGGGGGCGACTAGTCAACTATCCGATAAGCATTTGCTGGTCAACTAGTTGTTCACATCTCTAGTGCAGATGGGGGTTAGCATGGTCAGCCAGCTGTCCCAGGGACAGCTGATCTTACCCTTAAGAATAAGCTAGGTCAGGGTGGCTCAGCTAATGACTTGCAAAGCATTTACCTGATAGTAGAAGTCATCCAGGTAAGGGTCAGTGCTTTGTAACTGCATCATCTGGATCTTTGACACCCAGTCCTTTTCCCGCTGCAACATGAGATTGGCGTAGGGGTCTTTCCGCAACTGCTCCTGATGGCAGGTCCGGTGGCCCCCTCGGTCCCCCCCCCAGCCATTCAGACTCCGGTGCTGGCTGGGGGGAGGAGCCATACAAATTCAGAAGATACAGAAAGGGCACAGTGGAGCGGGCACACGGATATTGGCCTGCATTGCAGGATGGCTGAATTTTCTCACCCCGTGGAGTTCTCACCCTCCCCACCCCCCACCATCCGAATGCAGGCGATTCCAGGACTCACTTCCTGTTCTGCTGCTGTCTCTGATGTAAGAGCCGCCGATGCTGAGGGTGAAGGTGAGTTGTATCTGGTCTGAACATCTGCGAATGAGGCCTAGAGAAGAGAGTTGTTATAACCTCAGATTGGTCATCTCTGGAGAGTCACGAGAGCCTCTCCAAGTGGGAATGGTGAGCTCAGGGACAGGAGGCAGAGGACAACTGTGGTACCTTAAGTTCTGCAAGTGGGACCCAGGACATGGCGGGTGCTGCTGCTGGGATGGGGTTGGTGCAGAAGGCGGGGGCCCCCCAAAAAAGGCACGGAACCCACTGGCTGGAGACACCATCTGCCCAACTCTGCCTTGAAGCAACTTGGGGTTCATGGATGCGAGGGGGCTGCCAACGAGCCCAGAGACACGAGCAAACTGGCTGGGAGACATGCGTCCAGCCTGCAGAGATGGGGGCAAGGAGAAAGACCACCACAAACATTACCACAGAGAGAGAGCAGGACAGACAGACAAGACTGTTATCATGGGGAGCACACAATGGGAGCTACCAACTGTCTGAGAAGTAGCAGAGAGACAGCCACACAAAGGCAGAAGAGAGATCACAGATACCAGAGACCAATGCAGAGCGCACAGGATGCTGCTGAAAAATGATGTAGAACAAGAAGGAACAGTCTGAGCTTTACCTGTGCTCCTCCTAGAAGCTGCGCTCTCTGAAGGTGAGTGAAAACAGGAGTGACGCTGGGAGGAAACGGGTGGCCCAGGAGGGAGGAATTCTGGGGAAAGAAAATGGAAGAGCAAAAAGGAAACACTAGTTCTAAACAAAGAATCAAAATCAACCCAACATGGACATTCAGCAGGTGCATGCTCCAGAGACATTCGGATCAGAGAGAAAACGAGAAACTGCAGAAACACCCAGATCAGCAACAGAGAGGCTGAGAGTAGGCACATGAGCTTCTGGCACGTGGGATACATCTGGGCCAGAGGGGGAATGGAGAAAGGGGAAGAAGTGCTGAGATACAGAAAGGCGGCTCTCCAGACAACACATGGAGGCCACAGCATTCAACACCAGATGATTCCCCTTTAAGAAAAAATTAGACACAGAGGCCTATCTCTAGAAGGGAATGGCATTAGAGGAAGGATCAGAGGGCAGGTGAGATAGCGATGGGAAAGGACCTCAGGAGTCCTGAGGAGGTGAGAGAGGCTTGGGGGTGAAGCTGATGGAGAATGGACATTAGGAATGTTAGAAGGGACCGTTGTTGGGGACGGGGGAGCAAACCAGGAACACAGAGTGAGAGACACTCCATACCGGGACATTGCAGAGCTGGTTTGGGGACATCCTCTCGCCGTAGGGGGCAGGATAACGCTGCTGCATCGGGGCCCTGATATGAACAGGCTTCGGACACAGGATCTATCATGAAGGGGAAACCAGAAAAGGGAACAGGTCTTAGTCCTATAAACTAGCTTCCCTTTTCCTTGCCAACATCTGCCAGGCAACTCCTCCCATAGAGCTGTCACTCAGGGCTCACTCATGAAGCAGAACGGAGACTGACCAGCAGTACACCATATATAGAGTGCCTCCACCACCTCCAATTCCTTATCTTGCAGCAGAGGGGGAACCCCCCAGTACACACAGCAGCAGCATCTCCAGACTCTTGCCCAGTGGAGACTGGCTGGATTGCATCTTGTTTTGGGCAGCAATGCCACATCCCTGTCCTGATGCCAGACGCTGGCATGTGAAAGCAGCTGATGAAGGAGGTGAAGTAGTGATATCTGAAGAACAAGCCACCTGCCCTACCGTTAATTTCTCCTCCACCTGGCAGGACCCAGGCATGCACTCAGATGGGTTGCTGCTCTAAAGATTGAGCAGTAGCAAAAGCTAGTGGCAGGCTCCCTTAATTAAGCATCCTGGAAATGTTAGGCTCTTCACTTTCTTGGGTCTCCCTTTCTACCCTAATCCTTCCTGGAAACACCACCCTTTCCTGAAACCACAGTGACCAGACCAACCTCCTGCCAGAGAAGAGTGAGGGGAAGAAATACCTGCTGATTGAAGTTGGCCATGGCACCCTGCTTCGGTGGCGTGCCGATGGGGACAGCCCGGACCGGGGGGCTCCCAATGACTGGGGAGGACGAGCGTCTGGGCAGTGCCCTCTCTGAGAGATCCCGTTCATCCTCCTGGGTCTGCGAGGGTTTCTGAGGCAGAGCATATTCCAGCACGGACACCGCGGGCATCTCCTGCATGCGGGAGGAGGGGAAAACACAGGCAATGATTTGCTACTTTGAACCATGTGCAGTTTACCAGCAGCACCACTCCGCATGCACCGGGGCTCAGTGAGAACAGAGGCCCTCGTGGCACAGCTGAAGCAAGGAAATCTGCCTAATGAGAAACAAGGAGGATGGTCAGGAAAGCAGACGCTCTCTGGGAAGCTTCACCTGCAGCTATGATCTAGAGGGCAGGGGTCCCGGCCTAAGGAACGAAACCCTCAGCTGGAAGTCAGGGTACAGAGTTCTAGTTGGGATTCTGCCAGATTCCATCACCAGATCGACACGTTACTAGCAAGCTCTGCAAAGGAAGCTCGGTGTCCTTCAGAACAACCCAGCTGTGTGCGAAGGATCATTGCTTTGTTGGCTGCCTTTTGTGGCACCACACACTTTTGCTACTTTTTAGCCCTATTAGCCCTGCAGAACCAGCTCAGAGGCCAGAGAACAAGTTGGACTCTGTTCTGGTTCAAGCATCAGCATTCTTAACTAAGTTCTGATCGGCACAATCATTATCTTGAGGAGTTCACATCAACTGGACCATAACTAGGCCTGTAACACCTCTCAAAAGGGGCAGGGTTATTGGGGATAATACACAAGCAAGAGTCAAGCCAGCTTGGCTTGCAGACCCAAGAGGAAATTGGCAGAGCTGACAGCTAAAAGACTATTTCTTGTCAACAGATCTTGTTTGATCTAAAGTCTGCAGGAAGCAAGTCCAGGCCTACCCGGCACAATGCTACCTTAGAGCCACTTTACACAGCAAAAGGGCTCTTCAGGAGTAAATCAAGTCTCTCACTTCAGGGTCTAAGCTGGCTTTCACGGGAGCTGAGAAGGAATCATCCACTCAGCATGGCCACAATAAGCTAAATGCATTATGGAAAACTACAACTTCCTCATAAGCATCTGCCATCAGTACCACTGGGCTACAGCCTCATGTGAACAGCAGGCAGCAGGATGCTAGACAAAAAGGGTTAGCGGCTGGTCCAGGGTAAATGACAGAGCTGGCAAATCTTCGGTGCCTGAGAAGCACAGAGGCTTCTGCTCTGCATGGGAAAGGGATTTCTGGGGTGGGAGAAAAGTGTCTCCCCTGAAAGAGGCTGGATTAGTAACAAGGCAGGACATGGCACCTGAGTGAGAAGTGGTCCTCGGATGCGCCTGAGAACTGCGGATCCATCCCAGATGCTAGAGTTGAGGCCTCCAGGCTGCTGTAAAGGAGAGAATGGCGGGTTACCTTAGGGAGGGCTCTCCTGTCTTTCCATTCATTTCCTGCTTCTCCCCCCACCTAAAAATACCGCACTCACCAGCATGGAGGGCTGGGTTTGTACAGCCTGCATGATGGCTGGATCTTCCAGCTCGTTGTCAATAACCAGCTTGCTCAGCCTCTCGGCCAGGTTCTCCTCATGGTGGCCCAGCAGATCCATCTCATCACTGACGGTCCCATCCTCCAGCTCTCTAGCTGTTGCAGGCTTGTCTTCCAGTTCTGCAAGCCGCTCATGTGCCTCCTGCCAGTCATCATCTGCAAGGGAACCACAGAAAGGAAGCAGGGCTGGCACCTCAGTACCACTCATTTATGCTGCAGCCAATTATACCTCCCGGGCACCAATGGACTGGAATAGTGTGGAAATGCTACAGATCAGACTGAGGGACATCAGCAGAGCTTTAGGTGGAGCAACCCACGACTGGAGCTGCAGGAGTGGGAGTGGCTAAGGGCAGGACTAAGAAGATCTCCAGCCAGCTATGGCATTCCCCTGAAGTAGAGTTAGGAACAGAGATGAGGCAGTAAATGGGAAATGCAGCAATCACCAATAGCACCAGCTCCAAACGTGTCATCATTGAACTGGTCGATATCTTCATCCTCCTCACCCAGGGTCTGAAAAGCATCTTCATCCTCATCCGGAGGACAGTCCTCCAGGGACTTGGAAAAGAGCAAAGAAAGAACAATGAACCGGCTTCCAGAAAAGTCAGTTTGACATGCCCATTCAGCATCACCGAAGTGGGCTTCCCTCAGTCACCTCGTGTCCAAAGCTAGGGCTCTGAGCCTGTCTGAACCATTCTGTGGAGATGGTCTCATTTCTCTATATCAGCACATCCCAAGCGTGGCCCTTCAGCAGAAAAAGAGTCATCACCTCCAGCACACACTAAACACAACTCCTCAGACAAGGCACGTTACTCCCCAGCAAGCGTGTCCCAAAACACCCACCCACAGGGCACCCACGACCATCAAACAAGGTACTTCTGCCCAATCATGGACTAAGTGCATCCCACAGGAAAGACATAATTCTCCTCTCTCTCTCACTCACCCCCTCCTTACAAAGAATGCCACCCCACAGATAAACATCCCATTTCAAGCACACCTCCCCAGACAGCATGAGGGGAAGGAGGGAAGTCCAGCGGTTACGGGGTCCAGTTTGGGATCAATTTCCCTGCTCTGCCACTGTGACATTTCAAGCAAGTCACTAAGTCTCTTGGGGCTCCTGTTCACCATCTGTACAAAGAGAAAATAGCACAGCCCTGCCTTACACAGGTGCTACAATGATAAATATGCTAAAGATTGTGAGTGTGACAGGAGCCAGAGAAATACAAAGAATACTCTCCTACCAAGACCAAGCATGCCCCATATTCCTCCCATGCACACCCTGAAACATGGTACCTGACATACACCATACAACAAACATAACTTACATGTAAGACACATGTATCCTTGCCTCCCAGCATGGACCAAGAGTGTCCACTCAAATGCCTTCTCTGACCCAAGCCAGCTGGGTAAGAAACAAGTGTGCTCCTAGCCTCAGTTCACAAAAACATAGTGGCCAGCAAGCACGCGCTACAGATTGTGAGTGTGACAGGAGCCAGAGAAATACAAAGAATACTCTCCTACCAAGACCAAGCATGCCCCATATTCCTCCCATGCACACCCTGAAACATGGTACCTGACATACACCATACAACAAACATAACTTACATGTAAGACACATGTATCCTTGCCTCCCAGCATGGACCAAGAGTGTCCACTCAAATGCCTTCTCTGACCCAAGCCAGCTAGGTAAGAAACAAGTGTGCTCCTAGCCTCAGTTCACAAAAATATAGTGGCCAGCAAGCATTCGCTATGCCATACCCACCACTCAATTAGGTTCTCCCTCAAACTGTTCACTTTCTGAGTCCCACCACCTAAAAGCACACAACTGTTCAGTTAACACAGCAGACAGACTAGGATCAGCTTACAGGCTGAACCTCTTTCATCTGGCAAAAATTGTGGTCCAATATGATTTTAGTTAGTCCCCTATCCTAGGTCTGACCAAGTTTCCCATGGTCCCATAAAGTTTGCTTACAGCCATCATTCTTGGCTCTCAGTGCTCTGATTCAGCTCTAATTTACCCCTAAATGTCTTCTAAGATCCCAGTAAGTAGTGGAAGTGTTGGCGATGCTGCTTAACAATACTGACCTCCCATGTTTGGCAAATTCTCTGGTTCAGCACCAGTGGTGCCAGACTAGAGAGGTTCAACCTGTATCAGCAAATCTAACCTGATTGGCCAACATCCCCGGGCATCTCTCTGTGCCACCTCCTGATCCCATAACCAGAATCTAACTCAGATGCACATACCCCCCCATGTACATCAGACTCAAAAGAGCAGCCCCAGGCCTGTACCCCAATAGTTCCTGCTCCAAAAGACATGCACCCTTCATATCGCACATCCTAAGAAAGGTACATACTATGGCCCATGCAGCCCCCTCAGTCACCTTGACCCCAGCCCACATTCTGCATTCCCACCTCAAAGAGGCAGCTTTAGCCTATCGGTCATGCTACCTCCTTCTGAAGGACGACCCAGCCCACACCCTGTAGAATCACCCTCAGAGCCCCCTACTCCAGGCCACAGTATCTGCGCCATGTGTGCCCCCGCCACACTGGCTTGTACCCGACCATGCACCCTGCAACAGAGGGCCCTCCTGGACCGTGGCCCAACATCCACACAACTGAGACCCCTCCCCAAATCACACCACTCCCTACAGAGGCCCTCTAGCTCATGCTTCCCCAAAGGTACCTCCCACAGACCTCCCCCAGCAGCCCAACCCACAGTATCTGCGCCATGTGTGCCCCCGCCACACTGGCTTGTACCCGACCATGCACCCTGCAACAGAGGGCCCTCCTGGACCGTGGCCCAACATCCACACAACTGAGACCCCTCCCCAAATCACACCACTCCCTACAGAGGCCCTCTAGCTCATGCTTCCCCAAAGGTACCTCCCACAGACCTCCCCCAGCAGCCCAACACACCCACAAGCCATGCCTCCCCCGCAAGTCCCAATGCTGCCTGGCTGCGGAACACCCAACGCTGCCTGGCAAATACCAGCCATGGGCAGCCAAAGAGAATCTACTGTGAGCCAGGAGCGG